CAACCTTGGTGAAAGAAGAAATGTTCCACTGAAAATTGCTATTGAGAACTTATTAGGTCTCCTCTGTCCAGGGGTGGATGGGAGGGCAGGAGTGAAGGTGCACCTGCACCCTGCTTTCATTCCTGCTCTATCTGAAGTTTAAAACCAGTGACAGCAGTGCTCCCAGTGCAGCAGCAATAGGGAAGTCACTTGACAACATGGCTCATTTTAACCTGACTCTGCAAGTCTTCATTCCATGGGTGTCATTGCCCCTCTCTCCTTTTTAATGGCCTCCATCAAACTACCCATTGTGTGCTGCCTGTGAGCCGCTCCTGGAAATGAAGCTCCTGTTTCACAGGCCCACAGACTGTGTTTACCTTAGTCCAATGAAGTTATATTTGTTTCTGCTTCTGTCTTAAACTGAGGCCTATGTGTAGACCAACGTAGCTACAACCAACAACATTGCTATCTTAAACTGAACCATACCGCCCAGACCCCTAGCCTGTTAGTACAGCGTCTAGTATCTTTTGAAGTGAAAACGACGAGTTCTTTGGTATGAGGAGACGCCTCCCAGCCAGCACCCGCTTCTCAAAACCCTACACCTGTCAGCTGATGTCAGACCCACTTCCGAGGCCCTTGCTACATGCTATGTTTATTAGGCAATTAGCGGGTTACTAGTGCAGTAAATTAAAATTGGGCACGCCTGCTAACTACCAAGGGCTGCAAGCTCAAAGCCACGATCACACAGCGAGCCGGTGACTCCGGCAACAAACGCGGGCTGAAGCAGCAGCAATGTAGTGAGCACAGGATGAACAGAACAAGGCCGAGAGAAAGAGCCACCTGGCTGCAGCTGGCTTGAAACCGTGCAACAGCTCTCTAGCTAGCTCCCATCCGGCGTTCACGTGAACGCAGCCGGGCCCGGGCCACTTGGCCTCCAGCCACACGCGGCTGTGGGCTGTCGGCGGGCGCGGCCCCGGCTCTGAGGGGCCTCAGGAGAGGCAGGACCGGCCCCTCCCGCCCTGCCCGCACCCGAGCCAGCAGCGGCCGGGCCTGGCAGGAGCGGCAAGGGAAGCCCCGCCCGTCCAGGGCGGGGCGGGGAGGAGGCCGCGCGGGCTGGGAGCGGAGGCACGGGTGAGCCCTGCCCGGAACGAGGGTGAGCGGGGCGCTGCGGGGCGGCCGCACGAGGGGCTGGAGCCTGAGCCCGAGGGTGCGGCGAACAGTCTCTCGAGGGTGGGCCAAGCCGGGACAGAAGGGGCACCTGCCTCCCTGGGGACAAAGTCTACCGCCTGCAGCGGCAGGAGGAGCCTAGGGCCCGTGAAGGGGCCAGGCCGCGGCGGCCCCGGGGAGTCGCCTGCTGATCGACCCGAAGCTGACGCGGGGTGCGGCCGTGCGACCTGCCGGGCCTTGGAGCTAGGCCCCCGCCGTGACCAGGCCACGGGTGGGGAAGTTCAGCCCAGCTGCTGGCGCGCAGCCATGGGCGCCCGCTGAAGCGGGCCAGTCAGCTCGGGAGAGAGCCAGAGCCAGAGCCAGCCGGGTGTAAAGTTAGCTCTTGAAACGTGTAGCTGCTCCTTAGCTGGCTGCTATCCAGGTGTTATTGGAACAAGCAGTTGGTTCCAGCCTGGCCCCACAGTGGGAGAGGAAAGGGCCTGCACCAGGTCCAGTGTCAAAAGGCAAGGGGCAGAGCCAGCCCCAATCCAGCCTCCTTGGGCCCTATTAATGGCCACTACCACACTTCCCACACGGTGGGGATCCCATTGTTGTGGCTCTGTGGCCTGCCTGTGGGCTGGAGGTCGAGTCCGCTTGCTGGAGTATTTGAATGTTCCTCAAAAACAAACAAAACAGGTGAAGACTAGCTACCTGACAGATGATATAACTAACTGGTTAATCATGCCATAAATTTATACTGGCCACACCTGTAAAGTAAGAGGGGCAACAGATGTAAAGGAATTAATCACACATTTAACTAACTGCATAATCACACAGTGAATTTAGACCAGCCATGTGTACAAAGTAATTGTCACAGGATAAAACTGACTCTCCACCTATAAGAAGCCAACCAGCTATGAAGTTAGTGCTTAGAAAAAAATCTATCAATGCTGGTTTCTATCTAGGTTTCACTTAAATATGTAGTAGGGCCTTAAAAAGCTTGTGTTTTCCAAGGGGGGTGGTCCTTGTGTCTGAAGAGGTTGAGAACCACCGGGCAGTGGTCTACAACCTCCTCACACCTTCCATTCCCTCCTATGGGTTTTCTGCTGTGCTCAGAGACAGGCTGCTAGTGAGAAACGGGTATTGCCAAAAAGCAGGCAGCCTGGAAGTGGCTGAAGCCAAACACAGCAGAACAAATATACCAGGAGACCCCAAGGGGGCTGGAGTACACTGGTATTTGAGGAGCTGAGAAAAGCAGTTAACTAGCTTTGAAACTGGTACATCCCTGGTGTTGTCCTGGACATCAGGCATTGGTGTAGTAGCCATCTTGGCATATTGTCAGGCTGTCACTAGTGAAGGATTATAGCACTGTGTCTTCAAAGCTACTTGGTGTCATTAGTGTTTGGACACTTCTGTACCCATGCTGCAATAGCAGCTTAGGCATCAGATGTGAAGGCCTCTGCTCCAGTGCTTGTTCAGCTTCAAGCACTAAGAGCTAGATCCACAGGATAGCATTCAAATCAAAACCTCAATTCGACTGCCCCCAGTTCTGCAGGCACCAGAAGCCCCAAGGTGCCCAAGTACTGACTGCTGAGCACATCCATGCCTGCTTAAGTCTTGGCAGTGCTGAACAGCCAGGTGCCAAACTCACCCCTACACATTGCTGATAGTGACAAACTGAGTCTTCTGTTGCTGGCTTGTCTGCAGGGCACGGTTCCGTAGGTGGCGTCAGCCCAGGCCCTGCACAAAGACACTGCTTGCAGATAATTCCCCCAGCCATTTGTACGCAGTAGCCCAGAGGTTATGGAAGTCACTCAGGAAATGGGAGACTGGTCCAGTTCTTCTCTCTGACTGAAGTGATTTAGACCCAAACCTCCTACCCCCTGGATGAATGCTCAAGTCACCAACCCATAGGTCAATGGTTCTCAAAGCTTTTACACTCAAGACTCCTCAGGAAAAGGCCAGCTTTTAGTTTTCATCCATCTTTTTACTATGGGAAAAAAATGATAGATCAATTTTCTATTGCAGAGAACTCAAAAAGGCCACAGTAGGTCAGAGCATTTTTGACACTATAGATTCCTATTTGAAATCTCTGAGTTCTCTCATTAATCATGTTTGCATGTCAAGCAGTGCACCACTCTTTAAAAGGATCTCAAGGCATCCCAGGGTGTTATGTCACCCTGGTTGAGAATCACTGCAGTAGGTGGTTTGAGGGGGAACAGAGAGGAGAGACTGTTGGTCTTTCTTATTCATTTATTCCATAATGGGGGGGGGAGACTTAAATACTTATAGGTGTAGGGCCAGTAATTCAGACCTTCCCTTCCCCTCACAATGAGCACCCAGTCGGCTTCTTTTCCTTCAGCTAATGAGTATTAAATGAGTCAGTGCAAAGTGGAGCAGGTTCAGCACGAAAGAACGGGAGATCACCCACCCAACAGTGTTGTAGCCTCATGGTTACACTCACACCAGCAACGTGGGTTCAGATCTTTTAGACAGAGAAGGGCACTAAACTGAGGTCTCCAGCATCCTGTGCAAGTGCTCTAGCTAACGGATTATTTGATAAGAAGGTCATCTTTATTATCCCCAGCCCTTTATTTCCCACCTCTGGCAGTCTCTGTCTAAAGCCCTTCTTGGGCTACCAGATCTCCAAATAGCCCTTGAGCTGTCCCAGCAAGCCATGAGGCTAAATGACCAGTATAACTTTAAAATCAAACATCTATTCTCTCTAGCCTAAACCCTCTCTAAGCTTAACTTAAAATAAGGAACCCCTGCCTGCACAAGCAGCAATTTCTCTCTGCCCCAAGCAGCTTTCTCCAGTTCCCAAACCTGCACTTAACCAGTTTCACTGTGAATTCATGAGCTCTGTTACCAGGAGCTTCTCTTTTCTTGACTCCCAAAGTCAGACTGCCTAACCAGCTGAGGCATTGGGTTTATATATGTCCAGCCCAGCCCTCTGCTGATCAGATGACTCTCCAATTAGCTCCCTCCCCACCTGCAAGATGCCTTTCTGGTGTCCTGCTACATTGCATTAGTCCTTAAAAGGACACTTGTCCTTTCTCTTAGTGTTTCCTGCTGCTTAGATAAGGCTGCATCTTGGCCTTTGGAGCTCCTCGCCTTCACTTCTTAGGAATGTCTGTACAGCACAAGGTAGGGATATGTAAAGTTATTCACATTAGCTCAGGAGTCAAAAGCTGCACAGACACAGAACTAACACATGCAGAACCATCACAAAGTTTCTATATATCTAATTTATTTAGTTTTTAAGGTGCACATCTACACTTCTTTCTGCTTGACTTCAGACTAACACTAACACAGACTAACACATCTCTTGGCACTTTGCTGCCAGATCCAGGCATACCTTGAGACCTCCCCAGGTACTGTATGTTAGGGGCATCCCTAACTTAGGGTTGTGGATTCCAGCAAGTGACATTTAGCTTCTACAACTCCAGCACTGCAGCACTGAAATTCTGTTGTGGCTCTAGCCTCAGGGAAAAAAGCAGCAAAAAGCTTTGGCTTGTAGGTAGTTTGGCTGATAATACTGGAACACAGATGCCATGCTGAGATTATCTGCCAGTGCTGTCAGCAGGGAAAGTCAGGTTTGCAATGCTACTATGCCAGGAGGTACAAAGGCAAAAGAATGCCTGTGCAACTCGGTTATAAACTGCTTGCAAAGATCTGGCTTGTTATTTCTGCTGTGGTTGCCATGGGAAGGGTGACAAGCTAAAAAAGCAAAGATGAAACCATTATACGTTCAGTTATCTCAGAACTAAAATACAAAAAATACCTTAAGAGAATGCATCCAGACATGAAATGCCTAACATAGAATCTGTGCCTTCCATCTTCTCATGGTGATAAAGGTCTCAACTTTCTTTTAGGAGGCTGCTTGACAGACAGTGCATATCCATAAGAACTGCAGCAGAGGTGACTGGTGGTAGCCACACATGCTAGGCTTTCAAAATAGATAGGTAAGTTGCCTCAGTGGGAGCTCATGTGGGGAGAGTTGGTGCCTATTTCAGGGGTTGGCATCTTTTGTTACCTAGCCTCCACCTCAGCCACACTCCTGCATACCCTGGTTTCCTACCCTGCATGCCTGAATTGGGCCCTGAGTGCCTGGATAAGCCTCCACATGCCCAGATAGGAGCCTGAGGCCCAGTGCCACCCTTGCATGCTGGGAGTGGTTCCTGGTGCCTGGTGCTGGTACCACTTCTCCCCAACACCACCCACTGGGATTGGGTTCCAGGGCTTGGCATTGCCCCTTCCTGGTCCCACGCACCGAAATCAGACCCTGTGTACCCAATTATATGGCTCCCACGTCTGGAAATTCAGCAGCAGGGAAGCAGTGGCACTGCTAAATTTTCAGACCCATGAGGAGCCCTGTGGGTGAATTAACACTGAGTTGGGGAATGTATCTGGCCTGTGGGCTGGGAGCTTTGTACGCCTTTCTAGAGAAAGGCAGGTGCTGGGATCCTGAGGATGCCTGCCCTGGTGCAGCAGAGAAAATAAATTTGAAAACAGCAGGCAGTAGGACCCTGGGATGCCTTCTCTGCTGCTGTGGCTGGAGGTGGTGTGGATTGCCTGAGCTGCCACCAACCAGTTCTAGACTATTCATGGGCTAGATTCAGCCTGTGGGCCATAGGTAGCCAACCCCTGACCTAGTTGTTACATGCACCTGTGATCTGATAGGAAATCCTAAGTGCCCTTCCTGTTTACTTAGGGTCAACCAGTGGCACACCACAGTATTGCTGAAGGTGTCATCTTTTGTATAGAAACAGCATCCTGACTCCTTGTGATTGTTAGTCTTAGCCTTACATATCTCTATCAACAGGAGATTAGCCATGGCTGAACTTCTGTTGCATAATCCAAATGCTGTCTACCTAGACTGCCCACCAGTTGTCTGTGCCATTTTCCACCTTCTGTACTGATCTGTTTAAAGGTTGCAGCCTTCTGCCTGCAAGGTGGCTGTTTTTCTCTGATGGGTGTAGTGACCCCTGTAATATGCAATTTCATATAGCTTTGTCAGGTACTTTGAGACTGTGGCATTGAAGACACTATGTAAGTGTCACTTATCATTATTAATGCCTTTCTTGCATTTGGGAATTTAACAGACAACATTCTCCATAGAGTCATCATTGTCACATTCATTTTTGTTTTTTATAATCAGAGGTGGCAACTGTGGGATTCAGATTCTTAATTACATTTCATATAGGTGAACAGTGGTAACTTATTTAAAGTAATTAGTATATAACAAAACAAAGAAAAACCCCAGAATTTCTGCTTTTAGTGTAGTTAACAGCAGCTTCTAGATCTGAGAAAGCACTTGTTCCCCAAGCACCCAAAGCAGATATATACTGGATCCATATGGTAGCAAGGGGTTGTATACTGATGGGGGGATTGGTATCTCCAAAGGCCTCTGCATATTTTGTTTTACTTTTTCTGGATGAGAAAATAGTTTCTCACCCAGTGATAAACTTCTTGATATGTCCAGGTGTTTCCCCCTGCTCTGCCTCCCCATCCTTTGTTCCCTGCAACAGGATAAAGGCTTCTTCTGAATTTTATGAAAAACCTACGAGACAGAGCGTGGGGGAGACAGACAGATAGACAAACTGACACTTAGTCACCCTTGAGCAGACAACAACCTGATGGTTAGGGCATTCACCTGAGATATGAGAAACTGTGGGTTAAATGCTTTGTCAGTATAAGAAAGAGCAAGGAATTGAACTTGCCTGTTTTTCAGATGAGTGCCTCAACTGCTGGGTGTTTTGGGGCAAGCGGCTGGCAGTGTCTTGTTCCTCTGGCTTTGATTCCAAATTCCATAATTAAGCCAAGAAACCTTTATCAAAACTGGTATTTAGTTTCCTAGGAAGAATTCAGGTTTCAAGAGTGTCTTGTTTTACTAAATGAGAGATGGGAATGCAAACACACACACGCACGCACGCATGCACACACACACACACACACACACACTTTCTTCAAGTGCGTTTTCCCACCACCATTCCCACTATTAAGACTCTTGCTACAGCTCTGGAGCCTTGAGCTCCACCTTTGTGCCAGAGGCTGCTGCCAGTTGACCCTGATTTTAGTGGATACCTGGTGATTTGGGCTGGCACGTCAAAAACTGGCCAGACACGATAAAAGTAACATTACTCCATTGTGTACCACTGGTTAGTAGAATCTGGCTAGTAGGCTCACAAGGACCATTGACCACTACTAATGAAATAATCAATGACTCATCCAGAGAAGCACACCTTTCAAACTACTTGAAAAAGGTGGCCTCAAGAAGCCAACCCCCGAACCTGATACTACCACCCCAGCTCCAACTGCCAATTCCTGAGCTGCATAATTGAAAAAGTAGTAACTGCCCAGCACCATCATGTGACATCTGCCAACTTCCTAATCAGGGTTCACAAACTATAGACAGTTCTATTGGCACTAAAAGATGACCTTCTCAGAGCCACAGACACAGGCTTCTCTATCTCTCTACAGCAGTTGACACAGTGGACTATAATGTATTATTAATATGCTGACAAGACAGAGCAGGAATCAATGGCCCTGTCACTGCTGTAATTCCAGTTCTTCCTTGACATAAGAACTTTGAGTAGAAAAAAGTAACTGACTCCTATACAAAAAGATCCCACACTCTCCCCACTTCTCATCAATATTTAAACTAGCAGAATGTCGGTGCTATTCAGCTGTCTCTCATTCTTAGATGATACAACAAACACCAATACAAAAATGTAAAAATCAGCTTTTGAAGGAGTGGCTTGCTCAACTAAAGTGATACACATTATCTAGAGAAATCACTTTGAAAACTAGTTGAGTCTACCTCCATTTTCTATTAAAGACACACAATTCTCATTTGTAAAAATGCAAAGCCATGGAATCCTGCTTAATTTCTTATTGTGCTTCATCATTATGTCCCAATTTTCAAAACTGTTAGGCTGCTTGAAGACATAATCTCCCAAATAAATGGCTCTTTACTTTAAGCTTGGTGTGCCCTTGTGCCAAGCACAGGACATGCCCAGAAGTGGCATCACATTAGTTGGACCCGGATCGCCCAACATCTATATAGATCAGGTGCTTCTGCAGGGCTTGTTGGTGCTTTTATGTAATAGCCAATTGATTCAGGTTTCGATAAAAGTGCCAAAAAGCACTGCCGAAATGCCTGATCTATACAGGTGCTGTGGAGCCAGGTCAAACTAACACACTGCCCCTTCTGGTAAAGTGCTGTTTTTTTGGCTTTTTTCATGTTTGTCAGTGCCCTTAATGTATCAAATCCCAACAATTTTAAAATGGAATTTGAATCTGTTGATTGCTGCAATGACCATACTCATCTGGGGACACTGCAGATCACAAAGCCAAACTGAAGTTTATGAGAACTAGTGCCAAAGCATTCTCAGTAAAAGGGATCTTCCAGTGGAGATTAAATGAAGTTTGCCAGAGTCGGCCCATCTTTAAGATATGCTGCAAAACTTTCTTCCTAGAAAAGCCTTTGTATCGTAAGAATGATGCTAACAACTGTCATGCTTTCTTCTAATAAGCACCCCAGCAACTAACCACCCAAAAGTGGGAATGTGGAGGGCATTATTAAAAAAATTAAACTCCTCAACAGAGTTATTACCCTAAAAAAGAAGTAATAGGGAATTCATTAGGAGTACTGATTTTCTGTGGAAAGTACTCTGGCAATGGGTGGCTGTATAAAAACTGAAATAGATGGATACTAGGATATATAATGAGAAAATTAGTGGAGTTATAAAGATATGTTTTTGTTTATATGGGCCTAATCCACATATTTGATGTGAAGTGCTTAACTGAGGTCAGATTCTTCAGTCAGAAGAGAATTATTGTGTAGTAATATTGATCATAAGTAGGTGCTAAAATAAAACACACACACTTCTGTATGCTTTTGTATTTTATTAGCAAGGCTTCTTACAAGGATGAGTTGCCTCATTTAAAAATATCCTAGGTGTGTTAAAAAATAACATGTTTTACTATAGTGAAAATGAATAGCAATGTCATGAAACTACACTTTGAAATTGTTATGCTACCTAAAGCTAATATGTACCGTCTCCTTTAAATTCTTTCTAAAATATATTCTGTTAATTTGCAATGCATGTAGGATGTATTTCTATAATTGAAGTCCACTGAGGTTATTTGGCGTAGAATTGGGCCTTTTAAGTAGTTACCTCTTTCTGTATATAAATACTTAATTTATGTTACATCACATTTCCTACAGTCAGATGATTATATAAGGAAAGGCACTATTAAATTAATCATGGTGGAACTAAGAAGACCTCTTATTTTTAATAGTTTTAAATGTAACAACTAGCTATTGAGCCATACTTATTACTTTTCATACATTTTCTGTCACAGCAATCTGGATTTAGTGTTGTTATAATCTTATATTGTAATGTAACAACAACCAAATGATTTCTATATGTGTCTAGAGAGAATGTATGCTTCCATTAAAATATGCTTACCAAATCAAAATGATAGCAGTATGGAGGCTGTTTATATGATTAAATTGTAGCAATATGAGATTACCACAGGAAACAAGTAATCCAAACCTAGGGACTCTTCCCATTATAAGACCATTATAACAGCATAACAACTAGAATGCAAGTGTCAAATGAAAAAAACAATAAAGGACTGATCCTGCCATTAATACTCAGACAAACTGCCTGTTGGACTCACTGGAGGCTTTACCTGAGTAACAAATACGTCATCCAATAATACCAAATAATACCTAATAATGCCTAATAGTACCTGTAGAAAAAATATTCACTTTATCACTATTTAGCTGCAGCATAAACATGAGAATGTTTGTGTACTTTATAACTGATTGTTTTAAAATTCATTCACAGTTATTGTAATAAATTCTTGTTAGTTGTTCAAAAACCACAATGAAAAACTTCAGCCTTGGAGTTACTTTTCTAAGATAAAGCTGTCAAAACGTATACACATCAAT